ACACAATTTTAATTTATTCACACTAGAAATGTATGAAAATTCTGGACTCTCCATATCCTTGTTCGCAGTTGTTATAATTGTCTTTTTTATGATAGCCATTTGAGTGCATTGTAAAGTGGTACTCACTGTAGTGATTTTAATTAGAATTTCCCTAATGGCTAGTGACGCTGGCAACTTTTCATGCGATTATTTATATATGTTCTTTGAAGCAATATCTCTTCGCTCTTTTGCATATATAAAAAATGGGCTGTCTGTCTTCTTTTTCTTGAGTTGTAAAAGTTCCTTATCTATTTTGGAATAAGTTCTTTATCAGATAAATGATCTATGATTTTTTTCTCTGAGGCTGTGTCTTGTCTTTTCATTTTCTTCATGATGTCTTATTTATTTATTTATTTATTTATTTTTTTGAGGTAACACTGGTTTACAACACTATATTTCAGGGAGTAAGTTCATACCTCCTCAGATGCCTGTCAGCACACCACCCAGCACGGAAACACCCCTAGTCCTTTCTCTTAGACCAGTAGCACACCCCTCCACTGGGCACCCACTCCTCCCCCCAGTAGCCTCTATTCTGAAGTTACATTTCTAGGGTTTGTGTTGGTTTATTTTTGTCAGTGCCTTTGTTCTCTGTTCCACCTATGAGTGAAATACTCCAGTGTTTATTTTCCTCCTGACTTGTCTCATCAGCTTAACCCCTCCAGTTTCATCCCTGTTGTAGGAAATGGCTACATTTGCTCATCTTTTCTTCATAGCTGAGTACCATTATGTATATGTCCCACATCTTAATCCCCTCATCTGATGGCCCCTGGGTTATTTTCCAGAACTTGACTATGGTAAACAGTGCAGCAATAAACATGGGAGTGCATATATCCCTTCAACTTTGCATTCTCTAGGTGGAATTACTGGGTCATATGGTGGATTAATTTTAGTATCTTTAGGAACCTCCGCACTGTTTTCCATAGGGGTTAGACCAGTCGATAGTCCCACCTACAGTGTCCGAGGGTTCCTTTTTCTGCACACCCTCGCCAGCATTGTTGTTGCTGGTTTTCTTTCTTTCTTTCTTCTTCTTCTTCTTTTTTTTTTTTTGATGTGGACATGTTATCTAATTGTGGCTTTGATTTGCATTTCCCTGATGATAAGTAATGTTGAACCTTTTTTTTTTTTCATGTGCCTTTGGCTATCTGTATGTGTTCTTTGGAGAAGTGTTTATTCAGTTCTTCTGCCCATTTTTGGGATAGAGTCTTTTACTTTTGTTGAGTTGTATGAGTTCTTTGTAAATCTTGTATATTAGCCACTTGTCAGAGGTATGATGTGCAAATATTTTCTCCCCTTTAATGGGGTGTCCTTTCCTGAAACCATAAAATATATAGAAGAAAATACAGGCAAAAAGCTACATGACATACATCTCAGTAATGTCTTTAAAGACACATCACCTAAAACAAAGAAAATGAAGGAAAAGATAAACAGCTGGGATTACATCAAATTAAACAGTTTTTGTACAGCAAGAGACATTAGCCAAAACTCAGAGACCCCACTGATTGGGTAAAAAATTTTGCACACGATACTAATGATAAGGGACTGATCTAAGAGACCTATAGAGGGCTAATGAAGCTCAATGAAAACAAAGTAAACAACCCAGTGAAAAAATGGGCAGAAGAGGGTGTCCTTTTATTTTAACTATAGTTTCTCTGTACAGAAGCTTTTTCTGTTTGATGCAGTCCCATTTGTTTATTTTTGCTTTTGCTTTCCTTACCATTGGAGTTGAGGCCCCAACTTATATCACGGAAACCAAAGTCATGGTGTATTTTTGCCTATGTTTTCTTCCATATACTTTACAGTTCCCAGTCTTACATCCAAGTTTCTAATCCATTTTTAATTAGCTTGTGTATGGTATGAGAGAGTGGTCTGGTTTCATTTTTCTGCATGTGACTGTTCAGTTTTCCCAGCAACTTAATGGTGTCTTTCGAAGCACCAACTTTGGTTTTGATGAAACAAAATTTATAATATTTTTCTTTATGGATCATGGTCTTGGTGTCCCATCTAGTAATTCTTTGCTAATATATGGTCACAGAGATTTCTTCTTATATTTTCTGTTAAAACTTTCATTGTTTTAGCTTTTATATTTACATCTTGAAATCAATTTATTTTTTAGTGATGTGGAGTAAGATTTAAATTCATTTTTGTGTGGCTATACCATGATCCCTGTACCATATGTTGAACTGATTCCTTCCTCCACTAAAATTGCCTTCATGGTTTTGTAAAAGTATATATATATATTTCCCCTAAGTATAAGGGTTTATTCTTGGACAGTATTCTGTTCCATTGTCTATCCCAGGACAGTAACATACTGTGTTGATATTGTATTTTTATAATAATTTTGAAATTGGGAGGCGAATGTCCTCCTACTTATTTTCTTCTTTGGCAAGTTGCTTTTTGCTATTCTTCCTCCTTTCTATTTCTAAATAAAATTTAGAATTATTTTGTCAATTTTTGAATAAGAAATTTGATAAAATTGCATTGAATTTGTAGATTATGTGTTTTTTTTTCTTTAGTTAATATAGTATATTATACTGACTGATTTTATTAATGTTGAAGCAGCTTTGCATCATTGGAATAAACCCCATTTGTTCATGCTATGTAATCTTCTATGTTGCTAGATTCAATTTGCTAATATTTCGTTGAAGATTTTTATGTCTGCATTCATGAGGAATGGTGAGTAGTTTTCTTACGGTAAGTGTATATGGCTTAAATATCAGTGCAACACAGGTCTCTTAGAGTTAAGCAGTGTTCTGAAAGACTGTGGAATGTTGAAATTTTTCCTATTATAAATGTTTAATGCAACTATCCAGTTAAACCATCTGGCATTGGACTTTTTGTGTGTGGCAAGATTTAAACTTAGTAATTGCTTGCTATTGCTGGTGGTGGTGTCTAAAATGGTACAGCTATCTGTCTTGCAAGTTACAGACATCAGTCAGGGCTGGCTTGCAAGTTGCTTGGAAGGCAAGATGATAAAAATTAAAACCACACTGAAATATCACTATATACCAACCATAATGGCTAAAGTAAAAAAGGTGGAAATACCAAATGTTGACAAGGATATGGAGCAACTAGAACTTGCATACTGTGCTGATGGACGTTTGTATTGCAAAGACACCTTTGGAAAACTAGTTTTATAATATAAATCTGAGTATATGAATACCCTAGACTTGACAATTCAATTCCTAGATATATACATAACAGAAATTCATAAATATATTCACCAATATGTAGGTATGAAAATACTTATAGCAGCAATAGTCCTCATACCCCCAAGCTGCAAACAACCCAAATGTTCATCAACAGTAGAATGGATAAACATATTGTAATATATTCCCACAATCGAATAATATGACAATGAGAATGATTTATCTATAACCACATTTAACAATATGGATGAATCTCATGTTCATCATATGACTGAAAGAAGAAAAACACAAGAGTATATTACAAAAACACAAAACAAAACTGATTCAATTTATAGAAAATATTAAATAGACAAGTCAATCTATGTTACTAGAAGTCAGAATAGTGTTTACCTTTTGGAGGGGTAAGAGAGTGCTTCTGAACTATTGGTCATGTTCTGTTTCTTGATCTGAGTAGGTTCACTTTGTGAAAATTCACTGAGCTGTTTGCTAATGACATATGCATTTTCTGTATGCATTATATGCTAGTAAAAGGTCTAAAAACAACATAAAATTGCATGCTAGAAAAAGCCTTTTCATATGAGTAGGTAGAAAATGTTTAAAGGAATAAGAGAAAGTGCATATATATCTAGGCAAGTCTTTTAAAAAGCAGTAGTCTACAATGTAACCACCTAACCACAATGCAACATGACTTTATTCCACATCAATCTACAGAAAACTATTTATAATGCGTATGTAGAAAAGCAATGTTTGTTAACCAAATTAGAAGAGGGAAAAACCAACTTATGTGGCTTGAAACCCAATTTCTCAGCCATTCTTTTTCAAACGGCAACCCTGAAGAGAGCAGAGGCTTCAGGGGACTAAGCTGGGTACTGTGGCTCATTTCCATTGGCTTAGATTAGGGTCATCTACCAGGGGAATAAGAGGTCTGCTGTCTGCAGCTTACATAATTGACAGCTTATGGCTACAGGGTAGAAGGTATGCATACCTTTTTTTCAGGTGTGAAACACCTGTACCACCTCCTGGGACTAGTGAGAGAACAATGATGTTGCTCTACCTTTAGCTGTATGTAATGTTTATTAACTATATTCCTGTACACAGGCTAGAGCTATGTCTAATTTGCCAATTCATTAAGTCAGAACCTCAAGTTTGAAATTTATATTTCATGTTTTAAAAATATCTTGTGGTGACTCCCCAAAGGGAAGAGAAAGAACATTCTTCATGGCAATCTTTTCTGTATCTTAAATATCAATGATCACAAAAAGACTGACTTCTATCACAGACCTATATCCCCACATAGATGTCCGCCTTGACTTCAGTACCCTGAAGGTATTTGGACAATGAAAACTCTTCTCCGCACTTTGGAAAGTCAAAACAAAATGGACCAGGATTGAGTACTTTTACATCTCAGGGTTGAAGAACTAATAAGTGCTGAATTCATAGTCTATATCCAACAAAGTGAAACATAAAAGATTGCAAGTCATCTGCTGGGGTTTTTATTTGCACCATTTGCAGGAACTTGAGAGCTCCTGTGTGGATTATGACCAAACAGGACTACTGCTCAAATGCCTCATCAGCGTCTCCCTACACATACAAATACATACCAACTGCAGTGATGTAGGTACTTGTATTTCCAATCGCCTAAAGGATGCTTGTCTTTGGTTGCCTCCTTATCACTCAAGATCTATCGAATCCCCCCCTACACAATGAGTACATCTTAAGACACCCAATTTTTTCCACCACGAGACATTTGATGAATACCCAGTTGTGATTTCCAGTTGAAAGCTTTTTCAGGCATTGGCTTTACAGAGTTTTCCTCCTCTATGAGTTTTCTGGTGTTTAATGAGATTTGATCTGTCAGTGAAGGCCTTTTGACATTCTGTGCAAACATAGGGCTTCTTTCCTGTGTGAATTATCTGATGCATACTAAGTGTTGCTTTCTGGATGAAAGCCTTCCCACATTTACTGCATTTGTAATGTCTCTCTCCAGTATGAGATTTCTGATGGATACTGAGGCGTGACTTCCAAGTGAAGGTTTTTCCACAGTCACTGCATTTATAGGGTTTTTCTCTAGTATGGATTTTCTGGTGTGTTATGAGATTTGACCTATCAGTGAAGGCCTTTCCACATTCTGCACATATATTTGGTTTTTCTCCAGTGTGAATTTTCTGATGCACGCGGAGTTGTGACTTCTTAGTGAAACACTTCCCACACTCATTGCATTCATAAGGCTTCTCCCCAGTGTGAATTCTATGGTGGGCAATGAAATGTGATTTCTGGATGAAGGCCTTCCCGCATTCAGGACAAACATAAGGTTTCTCTCCTGTATGGATTCTCTGATGCACGTTTAGTGTTGATTTCTGTATAAAAGCTTTCCCACATTCATTGCATTCATAGTGTCTCTCTCCGATATGAGATTTCTGATGTATTTTGAGGCGTGACTTCCATATGAAGGCTTTCCCACAGCCACTGCATTTATAGGGTTTCTCTCCAGTATGTGTTTTCTGGTGTTTAATGAGATTTGACTGGTCACTGAAAGCCTTCCCGCATTCAGCACACATATAGGGTTTCTCTCCTGTGTGCGTTTTCTGATGGGTCGTGAGATTTGTCCTATGAGTGAAGACCTTTCCACATTCTGTGCATATGTAGGGTTTTTCTCCCGTGTGAATTCTTTGATGCACATGGAGCTGTGACTTCTTAGTGAATGATTTCCCACAGTCACTGCATTCATAAGGTTTTTCTCCAGTATGAATTCTTTGATGTGTATTGAAGTGTGATTTCTGGATGAAGGCCTTCCCACATTCAGAGCATACATAGGGTTTCTCTCCTGTGTGAATTCTCTGGTGCATCCTCAGTGCGGATTTTCTGGTGAAAGCTTTCCCACACTCACTGCACGCATAGTGTTTCTCTCCAGTATGAGTCTTCTGATGTATATTGAGGTCTGAATTTTGGGAGAAGCCTCTTCCACATTCACTGCATTCATAAGGTTTTTCTCCTGTGTGAATTCTCATATGCCTAAAGAGATATGATCTGTGGAAAAAGGCTTTTCCACATTCACTGCATTTATATGGTTTGTGCCCAGTATGAATTTTCTGATGTGTAATGAGGTTTGAGTTGAGACTGAAGGTCTTCCCGCACTGAGTACATATATAGGGCTTGTCTCTTGTATAAACATCCTGAGGTGCACTCACTTGAGGCTTCTGAGTGAAGACTTTCTCACTTTTGTTGCATTTATGGGACTTTTCTCTAGCATGAATGCTCTGATGCTCAAAGAGATGTGACTTCTGAGGGAAGCCCTTTACACATTCAGTACATACATCAAGTTTCTCCCCAGTGTGACTTTTCTGATGGTGAATGAGAACTTGTTTGTGGCCAAGATGTGTTTCACATTGATAAGGTTCACAGGAACTCAAGCCTGCAGCAGCAGTCTCATTCTCATTAGAGGAGGAGCTATGGGCACCTTTCCCAAAAATCTTACCAGTATTCTTTGCTGCATTGCCTCCATTATGATTATATGAGTTTAAAGTATGCTTCAAATTCTTTCCATATATATCACAGTTATGGAGTTTTTTAATTGAGGGAGCAAGTTTGGTATTCACATGAATTATTTTTTCAACGTTTTGACACTCATGGCTCCTCTCCTTAGTTAATACTTTCACATGACTTAAGGGGTTATTCTGGTTTCCCTGATAGCTCTCTAGCTGCTCATTATTTTGCCATAATTCTTCTAAAATGGAAGAGAATGAATCTTCTCTTATGGATTGACCAGATTTCCCATGGTGGAATGAAACTGCTCCAGAAATTCTCTGTTGTTGAGTTTGCCCAATATCTTCACCTGAAGAGATGCAGAAAAAGTGAAAATGATCCACAGACCAATTGCCACAGGATAGAGGGCGCCTGTAGTTCAGGCAGGATAAACACCAAGAAATGGAAAAGTTCGTATGATAATAATGAAAACAGTAATAATGGGCCAATACAAACACTTGCTATATGAAACACAATTATACACCATTTATGATCTACCAGGCACTGATCCAAATGCTTTACAGATAAACAGGCCATTTAATACTCACTAAGCCCTGAGAGGTATCTACCAGTACCCCAATCACATTTTACAGATGACTCAATAGAAGTGCAGAGAAACATGTGATTTGCTGAATATCAAAGTAAATAATTGGGAGAAATGGAATTTGAACTGTAGAAATCCATACCCACTTTATAGGAGGTCTGGACAGTGAGCATGGTAAGCGGAAGTCATTTAAGGGGAAACCTAGCAGGTGAAAACATTTTCAGATTGTAGCTCCGTACTATCTCTCAGCTCTTAAAACCTTATTAATTTCTCTGCTTCTTGCATTTCCCTCTGAATCATTATGAATATCAGCATTAAATTCAGTAGAGGAGGACCTATGGGCAAAATGCCTCAAACGCCCATTCCTCTCTATATAAAGAAAAAAACTGTTTTAACATTTGCCATCCTGACACGAACTTGTTTGTGGCCAAGATGTTTTCACGTTGACTAGACAAGCAGTAAATGGATATCAGTGCTCCAGCTCTGTAGCCAGTTGAAAGTTATCTTTGGTCCCAGGAATATATACTTTCAATAAAGGTCAAGTAGGAGAGGCAGAGGTGGCAAGCCAGTCACCAAAATCTAGTCCTCTCTTCTTTCATGGTAATGGAATGTAGCTGGGCATTACACTTACCAGCCTTGCTTTGTTTGTGCCATAGACTATGTGCAGAAGTGAAATGTGCCATGTCTGAGGTTTAGCATGGTGATTTATAGCTAATGAGACTGTATCATACACTTGAATGTTCATAAGTAGATGTCAAATGTTACCACCCAGAAAAAAAAATGTCACTGTGTTGAGCTGGAGGTGCGAGTTTATGCTATGATGGTCATCATTTCCTGATATATAAATGTATCTATCACATCAACACATAATATGCCTTAAGCTTACGTAATGTTATATGTTAGATATATCACAATAAAGCAGAGGAAAAGAACATAAAATATAGTATATTTAGGGATAAATCTGACAAAAGATGCACTAGACCTAGCCACCGAAAGCTATAAAACATCACACTGTGAGAAATGTACAAAGACCTAAATAAATGGAGATATAGAACTTGTTCTTGAATTGGAAGACTCAATAATAGAAATGAGACGTCAATTCATTCCAAACTGAACTACTGAGTCAGTATAATTCCAATCAAAATTTACTTTTGTAGAAATTGAGAAATTGTCTCTAAAATTCAGGTAGATATACAAAGGTCTTAGAATAGCTAAAACAATTTGAAAGAGTAGCACAAAGTTGCAGGACTGCCCCTACATGGTTTAAAATTTATTATATAGCTTGATGAATAGATCTGGAATGAATGAAGAGCCCATGTAGAGGACAACTGATTTTGGAAAAAAGGTTGCAAAAGCAAGTCAGTGAAAAAGGATAGTTTTTTTTTTTTTTCAATCAATGATATTGGGTCCATTGGATAGCCATGTGAAAAATAAAATAGAACTTCAATCCATATCTTAATCAGATATAGAAATGGACACAAAATAGGAACTAAAAGTGAATCCTAAATTTTAGTGCTCTTGGATTAGGTAAAGATTTCTTAACTGCAACACCAAAAGCACAATCCATAAAAGAAAAAAGACAAATCAAACATTGTCAAAATCTAAAACTTCTCAGGAAAGACACTGATTTTAAAAAAAAAGAAAAAGAAAAAACTTTGCAACACACATATCTGGCAATAGCCACTGTCTAAAACTCAAAACTAAGAAAAACAATTCTTTCCATAGAAAACAACATAGAAGGTTTGTATAAATTCTGCACCAAAGAAGATATAAGGATGCCAACTTTTAGGTGTAAAAATCATGGTAGGATACAACCCAACTATTGAAGTGGCTAATTCTAACTATTACAATGGATTATGCCAAGTGTTGGTAGGTCAGCTGGTGCTCTCATACATATCTGGTTGGAAAGCAAAATGGTATAGTACTTTGGAAAAATTTGGCAGCTTCTAATAAATTTAAATATATATTTAGCATAAAACCCACAATTCTACTTCTAGATATTTACTCTAGAAAAATTAAATCTGGCCCTCCCTGGTGGCGCAGCGGGTTAAAGCACAGCACTGAGAATCTAAAGCCCCTTCCGCATGAGTTCGATTCCCGCCTGCCCTGGAGGAGACCACATGGCGTGGCAGACTGCTCCCCTCAGCAGTGTACTTCGTCGATCTGCCTGTTCTGCTCCCCACTCTGTCTCTGGTGAATCCTCTCACCCTCCACATCTCTGGCCTGTACCCCAGTTCTGTATGAATAAATAAATAAATCTAAAAAAAAAAAAAAGAAAAATTAAATCTTCTCATTGCATGAAATCTATAAACAGATATTTATAGCAACTTTATTCAGAGTTGCTAAAATTAAAAGCCATACAAACAACCTTCAATTGGTGAATGGATAAACAAATGTGGTACATCCAAATTGTGGAATACTACTCAGCAAGAAAAAAGAGCAGATTATGGAAACAAGCAACAGTCTGAATGTATTTTGAATGTGTTATGCTAAGTAAAAGAAATCTAACTAAAAAAAATCTTCAGATTATATAATGAAACATTTTGAAAAAGGTAAAACTATAAAGACAGTAGAGAAGGAGTAGTTTCAGGGATGAGAGTGGTTGAAAGGGGGCAGAGGTAATTTTTTGTTCTATATCTTCACAGTCATGTAGTCACATGACTGCATTTGTGAAAGCTTGTAAATTATGAATATAAATAAATTCCATAGGATTGTTAAAATGAATTTGAACAGAGGTTATGGAAAATGCACAGATACAAGTTTGAAATGGAAATACATGATCATGTTTATATCTTTGAGATAAAAGCTTAATTGTCACACAATGTAATGGAGAGTAACTGTAGAATTGTTCTGTGAAGCTCATGGTAAGATGAATAAAATGCCCAGGTAATGAAATCCCTTGTTAGCATTTAACATGAAGTAGCAAAAAGAACAGAATCAGTGGATCTTATCAGGAAAACAATAATCATAACCCAAGCAGAAAAAAAATAAGAGACTGTTTTTGGGTGCTATTGCTGGGAATTGAGGACATGAACTGAGAACTGAAAATGGCATTTGCAGAAATACAGTGAGAACTATAGAGTAATTATTTAAGTTACTGGAATATTTAAGAAACATTGACAGAATGTGACAAACTGCGGAAGTTGTGAAAGGTTTATGATACATGAGGTGATGAGAACTCTGATTCTTGATGTGCTGAGGAACAAAAGAAACACCCCATGGGAACTTTGGGGATACCTGAATCTAGCACTGAATCCGATGAAAAACAGACTGGCGATATCAACGGCTGACTTATGGCAATTTCACAACGGATGAACCCAGGCATGTGTATGGATCGGTAAACAGTGGACAGGGCTTCTGGAAGAACATAAAGAAAAATGAGGAAGACTAAACAAACGAGCAAGTACACTGGCTACAAGTGTGCAAGTAACCGGGAGGAACTGCACCTGGAACGAGGGCGACATGAGCGAGTCACGCATACGAGGAAACTCCAAGGGACAAAACAGATTTATAATGAAAAGCTCACATGAGAGAGTGAAGAAATAAAAAATAAAATGGAGGATAGTTCTGTGTTTCCTTTTCTTAAAGATTTATTTTTTTATGCATACAAGAGCTGGGGTACAGGCCAGAGGTGTGGTGGGTGAGAGGATTCACCAGAAACAGAGTGCGGAGCAGAACAGGCAGGTGGACTGAAACGCACTGCTGAGGGGAGCAGCGGGCGGGTCAGGAGAGGTCTGCCACGCCATGTGGGTCACCCCTTGACCGGGAATCGAACTCGTGCTGCAGTGGCTGGGGACAGTCTTACAGTGCTGCGCTTTAACTCACTGTGCCACCAGGGAGGGCCCCCTAGTCCTGTATTTCTTTATACAATATATAAAATGAGAAACTTCATTACTGGCACAAACTTTAGGAAAGAAAGAACCTTTTGTACAGTGTTTCAAAAAAAAAACAGCAAGAACTGTAGTTTTTTGAATTACTGGCATAGTTAAGAAACATAGACAGAATGTGACAAAATGTGGAAGTTAAGAAGGGTGATGTGCAGAGAGTGTCCATTCCAAAGTAATCCTCACACTCCACTCCATATATGGACATTTATTGCAGAGTTGCTTGTATTAGCTAGAGTTAGTAAAAAATCTAGGTTGTAGCACTGGTGCATTCTGGAATGCTATGCAGCAATCTAAGGAACAAAGCCAGATCAACATGCTGCATTACAGACCCTCTTTAGAAATGAATGAAAAAAAAAAAAGGGAACAGAATTAAGACTCAGCACAGTTTATATACACTATATATAATTTAATTTATACATACTAAGAGACATACTCATAAATGTATGCTCATAAGCCACAGGTTTTAGGAGAATACCACATAAATTCAAAGATCAAACACATTAGACCAATTGCCCATGGGAGCAGACTTGAGGAATGGAGATGGGGAGTTGGAATTAAAGGGAAGAAATATTTAAACACTTGAATGTTCAAGGAAAGAATCTAAGATAAAAATAGTAGTAGGAGTAGATTAGGAAAAATTAAAGGGTTCTAATAAGATGGGGAATGGTGTGTGTGATCTAGGGTACAGAGATTAGAGTGTTCTCTTGTTATAAATCTGAGCAAAGAAGAGAATAGATGTGGCAAGTGTCATACCTGGAGATGGCATTTAGGTATCAAAAGGGCTTCTGTCAACTCTCCCCATATGACTCCAAAATTTTAGGATTTTTAACACTTGCTCTCCTCAGAGCCTTTCTAAAATATCAGCTTCTAATACAAGAGAGATTAACTTCTATGACCCCATTCATCTGGGTCACACCCACTCACCTAAAGAGCTCTGATGTGGGATTTCCTCCTCCAGTGTCCATGGTCCCTCTCCTTGCTCTAACTTGAAGATGACCTCTGGTTTGGGAATTTGATACCCTGTTAACAGAACATGATACAGAATTGGATCCAGCTAATTGGGTTTCAGGGACCTTTCAATGACACATTGCATATGCTCTTCAGAAAAGTAATCACATTTCATTGGGACTAGAGTAACAATCACAGAGGTGAAAGAGGACTGAAGATCTCAGGCAAACAAGAATGACACCATCACACACTTCGGATGTCCCATAGCACTCGGCAGCTGAGGCTGGAAATAGCCTCTTGGAGGCCTGGTAGTCACAGGGTGGCCGTGCTTACCCACTGAGAGCAGGTGGCTGTAGTTCTCCAGCGTCACGTCCCGGTACAGGCGCCTCTGACTGGAGTCCAGCTGCTGCCACTCCTCCCTGCTGAAGTCCACAGTCACGTCCTCGAATGACACCGGCACCTGGAAGAGCACAATACCCACGTGTTCAAGGCCACATGGTCAGCACCAGGGTTGGAGGGAAGATAAATGAGAAATTGTTCCTTTTAAAAATAAAATTATTTATTTATGCTATAGAACTGGGGTACAGACCAGAGGCACAGGGGCGGTGAGAGGATTCATCATAGACAGAGTGGGGAGCAGAACAGGCAGATCGACGAAGTACACTGCTGAGGGGAGCAGCGGGCGGGTCAGGAGAGGTCTGCCGCGCCATGTGGATCACCTCCGGGGCTGGGGATTGAACTTGCACTGAAGTGGCTGCTGCCAGCTTGCAGTGCTGCATCCTAACCTGTTGTGCCACCAAGGAGGGCCAGAGAAATTGTTCTTACCATAAGGTATCATGTAAAGTTTTCACTCAGTACCTAGTTTTGTATTTCATTTTGTGGGAGAAAAAACGTAGATGTGTCTTGACATTCATTGGATAGGACATTCATTCATGTATTCAACTAGTCATTCTTATTTTAAAAATGAGGATTAAAATGGGTTTCGTTATGTCTTCCCTGGTGGTACAGGGGATTAAATCTCAACACTATGAAACTATCAGCAGCCACTGTGCCATGAGTTCAATCCCCAGTCAGGGAGGTGACCTACCTGGCACAGCAGACCTCTCCTGTTTCCCCTGCTGCTCCCCTCAGTGGTGTATTTTGTAAATCTGTCTCTTCTGCTCCCCACTCTGTCTCTAGTGAATCTTCTCACCTACCCCCACCCCCACACCTCTGACCTTAGATGTGTCTTGACATCACACCCCAGCTCTTGTATGCATAAATAAATAAAATAAATCTTTTTTTAAAAGGTTCTCTTTAAGTCCTCTAGTTAATGTGGGGATTACATTCAATAATACATTACTGAATGATATGTACTAAGCAGTGTAGAGTTGGATAAAATATAAAGCCAACATAGAAAGACACAAAGGACAATAAAAGTTACACAGAAAAAAAACTTATGTGAGAGAAAGACAAAACAGCAGTGTCTAAAAGATAGTGTAGATGGGCACTCCCTGGTGGCACAACAGATTAAAGCATAGCACTATGAAGCTATCACAGCCACTGCAGCACGAGTTCGATCCTCGGCCAGGGGGGTGACTCACATGGAGCAGCAGACATCTCCTGACCTGCCTACTGCTCCCCTCAGCAATGTACTTTGTCAATCCGCCTGTTCTGCTTCCCAGTCTGTCTCTGGTGAATCCTCTCACCCTCCACACTTATGACCTGTCTTCCAGTTCTGTATGCAAAAATAAATCAATCTATTTTTTTAAAAAAAAGATAATGTAGATGAATATCTTCACAATCCTGGGTTAAGAAAATATTCTCAGATAGGATACAAAAACATTAACCTTAGAGAAAAATATTGGTAAGTCTGTCCACAATACCGTTTAAAATTTCTATTCAACTAAAAGACAGCCTTATATGAGAAAAAAAGAGTTGCATCTGGAGTATGTAAAGAACTCTTACAAATTAATGAAAGAGACCACGCAGTAGAAAAGTGGATAAAGAATTTGAACAGGCATTTACAAGAGAAAATCCAAGCTGTCAATAGACACAAAAAAGGCTTCCCTTCCTAAGCAACAAGGGAATGAAAATTTAAAACGTAATGAGACACCACTACGCAATCTCTAGAATGTCTTTGATGAAAACAGGTTGACACGTGAATTGTTGATGAGAATCTGGTACATTGAGAACATTCCTGTTGCTCATGGTGATGTAAATTGGTACAGACACAATGGACACGTTCTGGCTTTATCTGGTCGTATTGAACACGGGCATCTACTTAGGCGTAGTGATCGCACTCACAGACAGTATGTGCATGTGTGCAGCAGCAGGCTGCTGGAAAACTGCAAGAGCAGCAATATCCAAGTATGAGTCATTTCATTAAACATGTTCAAATTGATATCTTTTTAAAAATCAGTGTTCAACATAATAGTAATAGTATCGACTATCCTTGTAAAAAAAAAAATACAGACATTTCCTTAGCTACTTTGATTTGAATAATCTCTACCTATATCCCACCACTCACCCACAAAGAAAACAAAATGATTTTCTGTGCTAGAGAGATGTGGAAGACTGGGGAAGAGAACCAAGTGAATATATCACCTAGCCAAAAATTAAGCTAAAAATTATCAATGGGGTTTTTTTTTTATTGTTGCTTTATTTACAATTGGAATGACATGGAAACAAACCAAATGCCCAAAAGTAGATGGCTGGCTTAAAAAGATGTGGTACATATACACAATGGAATATTACTCAGCAACCAAAAACAAACTAATAAACAAACAAACAAACAAACACATGACTTTTGCAGCAACATGGATGGAGCTGGAAGGGATCATGCTTAGTGAAATAAGCCAGAAGGAAAAGGAAAAATACTGGATGGTTTCACTCATAGCAGGAGTATAATGGACCACGTGAGAAAATAATAATAATAATGAACAGCTATATATCAGAGACATTTTATGGGAGTGGAGTGGAGAATGGGATCGAAAACAGTGGGGGGAGGGAAATGCACTGGACTATGGTGATGGCACACGGGTGATTTGGTGATGGGAATCCATGGGGATTACAACTGAGATGGAAAAACGCACAAAATTATGTAAAAATAAACTATTATATATATAAAAAAAACCTGAGCTAAGAGTAAGATAAGTGAAACATGGAACACAATCCATAATACACAACCTTTTGGATAAAATAAAAATCCTAGCATGCAAAAAAAATAAATAAATCAATGGGGGGCCCTCCCTGGTGGTGCAGTGGGTTAAAGCACAGCACTAAGAAGCTAAAGCCACTACAGCATGAGTTCGATCCCCGCCCCGGAGGTGACCCACAAGGTGCGGCAGACCTCTCCTGACACACCTGCTGCTCCCCTCAGCAGTGTACTTCATCAGTCGGCCTGTTCAGCTCCCTACTGTCTCTGGTGAATCCTCTCACCACCCCTGCACCTCTGGCCTGTGCCCCAGTTCTGTATGCATAAAAAAATAAATCTTTTTGAAATGCTTTAAAAAATTATCAATAGGGTCAAAACAAAGCAGATACATTACTCCCTATTTCTCCTGCTCCAAATCTACAGCTAAAAATCCTGGTCATCCTGTTAAATGAAAGTAAGAAGATTCTTCAGTTGGAAAGAAACAAACTGAAGAGGGCCTGGGTACCTGCAGAATGACACAGCAGTGATTTCATGTTTTCTTTTTGCCTCAGATATTCTGCACTAGGTTCTGGAGAAGCTAGCAATCCAGAATGCCAACTGTCACAGACAAAAATAGCCCAAGAAAGCCTGTTATCTTTAGCCAACATGGCAAGAGGGAAAGATTTAGATAATAACCGCCCTCCTCCAGCCAAGCATCACAGAAAACTCTTTGGCCTCCCCCACTCCTTTGCCTATCAGCAAACAATGACTGGGGAGTCCAGATTTTCATCCTTGCTTGAAGGCAATGAGGCCCCTCCCACACAGTGTCAGTGTAGGCTGTGTGGGGCTCTTGAACTTCCATGGCCACCCAGTAACATGTTCTTCCCCTTCCTCACCAGTGTGGCGTCAGAGGTAGTCTGGTGGGAAGCCTGAAATTACACACACACACATACACACACAACCCAGTAACAAAGTGCTCATCCCCCTTCTCAGATGTCAAAGAGGTATAAGTGGGGAACCTAAACTTTTACCAGTAAAAAAGGAGAGGCCCTTTTTCAGGCAGAATAATTTCAATAGAGGTCTGCTAGACTCAAGATTTAAATAATATTCAGAGTCTCGGCTCTCCTTGGTGGTGCAATGGGTTAGGACGCACTAGGTCTAGCAGCTGCTTCAGTGCAAGTTCGATCCCTGGCCTGGAGGTGACCCACATGGCGTGGCAGACCTCTCCTGCCCACCTGCTGCTCCCCTCAGCAGTGTACTTCATCGATCTGCCTGTTCCGCTCCCCACTCTGTCTCTGGTGAATCGTGTCACTGCACCTGTGTCTCTGGCCTGTACCCCAGCTCTGTATGCATAAATAAATAAATCTTTAAAAATAATAATAATATTCAGAGTCTCATATTTCCCAGAATATCCAGAACATAATAGAAAGTGAGGCACTTTTTGAGGAAGCTGGAAATGAGAATGAGAAAGACAATCAACAGACACCGACAATGAAATGGTACAGATGTCAGAATTATCTGATGAGGATTTTAAAAGACTCATCATAAAAATGATTCGGTACACATCAAAGAAGTGCAAGTATAGAAAGCATCAGCAAAGAAGTTAGAGATATAAAGAACTGAATGGAGATTTTAGAAGTGAAAATTTATAATAACCAAAAATAAAAATCTCAATAGGGTTAACATCAGAATAAAGAGGGACAAGGAAAGAATCACAGAACTAGAAGATAGAAAAACAGTAATGGTCTGAGCTGAACAACAGGAACAAATTGACTGAGAGAAAACGAACAGAGTCTCAGGAACCTGGGACTCGACAATAGGTGTTTCGGCCCTCTTGTCATCAGAGCCCAGGAAGAGAAGGAGTATGGGGCTGAGAAAGTATTTGAAAAATAATGCTAAACATGTATCAAGTTTGTCAAAACGTATCAACCTACAGATTCAAGAAACTGAGCAAACCCCAAGGATAAACCGAAGAAATCTATACCAAAACACATAATAATCAAACTTCAGAAAACTAAAGACAAAGAAAAAAATCTCAAGATTAGCAAGTGAAAAAATGACACTTTACCTACAGAGGAAAAGCAAAGTGACAGCAGATTTCTCATTAGGTACCAAGGAGGTGAGAAGAAAGGGCTCGATGGTTTTTAAGCACTAAAAGGCTGTCAACCCTGTAACCGGTAAAATTATCCTTCACAAGGAGTAATGGCTAATAAACAAATGAAAGGATGCTTGACATTACTGGTTATCAGGGAAGTGCTAACTAGGGAAGTACAATGAGCTACTACCTCCTACCTACTAGAATAAAGTCAGATAATAACAAGTGTTGATGAGGATTAGAGAAAATG